ACTCGAATCCTTGTGTGGGAGGATGTCGCAGCAGGAACCTGGTCAGGAATCAGGATAAGCATATTGTATAATAGACAAGTACTGGTACTTATATGTTACTCGCAGAGGTACCCAGTGTTGCACAGGTAAATATTGAATAGGTCCCATATTTTTCTGCACTAAATATTTTACCCCAGGGCAGGGCCAGGTGTAGAGGCAGGCAACCACCCAAGCAACCACCTGGGGCGGGGGAAGATGCTTCTCGCCTGGGGCGCCATTTGGAATTGGGCTGGCCCTGCCTTAGGGAGTCTGAATTGAAACACCACCTGACCTATGACCATCCCCGGACTGAATGAGGACACCATGTAAAGTTTGGTCGGACTGGGATCAGAGGTAAGGCCGTGCATAAAGGACAAACAGACAGACACATACAAACACTCTGAAATATAGTATAGATGATGTGCCATTCACATTGGATAATTTAGCCTCCATGAAATTGTAAAAATTTCAAAGATGAAACACATTCATCACATTATGATGCTAATGACAGGGACCTACCTAGGAAATTGAAAAAACTGGAGAAATCTAAATAGGAGAATAAATTGAAGAATATATAGGCAGGAGGTAAGCAAAAATATTGACTAAAGTAAATGGCAGAAGATCTCAAGTCTTACTCTTGTCTGCAAAACACACAATGAATTTGAATTCAATTAGTCTTTCATGAGTTGCTGCCTAGGAAATAATCCATGGTTACCACACAACTTCTTCAACTACCACCAAGAATGAAAGAGTAAATATTACATTTTAAGAAGTCAAACGAGTGTAGTTTAATCTTGCTACTGGTTCCTACAAAGAAAACAGGCTTCATGACATTGCAAGCATAGGCTTCACAGGCTTGACTTTGAAAAAATTTAATCTTTACTCTTACATTGTGTTTATAAAAGTAGTCTGAAAATGGAAAGTAAAAATCTTTCTAAAAGTAAAAATAATTATTTCTAGGACTACTTTTACAAATAATTATTTTCTTCTTTAGGGAGCCATTCATGACTGTGTTGGCCAATGCAATGGAGTTTGGCTTCCTTGAACTCTCAACTCACATTGATCGCAAGGTCTTCATAGAGGCCTTGAACTCGTATGGTGCCACCTAAGATGGCTTGAGCAATGCTGATGTTGGCATCAGTGTGAATGTCTGAACCATCTCGACGGAAATAATCTGACTTGGCCACACGGAATGTTACGAAAATCTCTTTCTTTCCAACAGGCATCCGCACAGTCTGTCCATCTTCCACTCCTATGAATAAAATCACACTATAACCAATAACATGGTAACTTCAATGTGGAGCAGCACATTCACATAACTCTTCATCAAGTGAAATATCATGTACTTGTCTCACATATACAAGGACTTGACATAAGTAAATAAACTCCCACTGAGATTCATATAGTCTGTTCCAGTCATGTGATAAGCACATGATTGCTAGCTATGAGAGCAGGAAGCATAACCCATACTAATTTTGCTAGTGCCATACTTGATTACAGAATAAACAGATATTCTTCCAAGCTTGAATGTCTATTTAATTATGTCAAGTCTCTATGCACATTGATAAAATGTTCATTGTCAAAGACAGCACAAAGCAGCCCAGAACCTAACCTGCAGGAACAGGAACTGTGATGGATTTCCTCTGAACTGTGCTCCCCTTTCCCTCACATTCCACACAAGGGAATTTGATGTGGACTCTAGTTCCATGGCATTGCCTGCATGTTGATCGCATCACAAATGGGCCTGATCAAAGCAGGAGACAGAATTAGAGATTCACCCCAATGGAACCTATCTCAGTAGCATTACCAACTACAACTTTAACTGTATATTTTTCTTCCTTTAAAAGTTTAAATTCTATTTTTGTCATGTTACAAAAATGTTAGAAACATGTTCCTCTCTAGCCTTATCAGTCAACAGTAAGTGAGGGCTAACACATTGCTATAAATGGAAGTTACATTTACAGCAATGTGTTAACCCTCAATTTAATGGAAGTTAAATACTTCTTCATTGCTAGTTCAAAATAATCACTTCACATCCATTTGATAACATGGAACTGTGCCACTGACGTTGGCAATATGAGTATAGCCTTTTTTTGCTATTTTCTCTATGGCACAGCCGCATGTCCCTGATTGAATGTTCAATGCATGTCTATAGGCCTAACTGAAGAATAGTATCATAGTGAGGGTATGGCACAGGCCTGTGCTGATGGTTTCCATTCCAGTTCCATTGCAATTGGGGCATCGTATACCCTTTGTCCCAGGTTCTGCCCTTGTTCCTTTGCATCGGGGACAGACATCAACTACATTAACTTGAATGTCTTTGTTAACCCCACGAGATGCTTCCTGGAATGTAAGGTTCACAAGGACCTAGATAGAAGAAAAGAAGAAGTCAATCACATTAAAAAATTCATTTTTATGAGGCTATCCAATTGACTTGTACATATACAGGGCATATTAGAAACAATGCTCCAAAGAGGGAACATCAAAATCCAACAAAGATCCAAATTGTGCATCATCATTAGCTGTGAACACCAGGTCCACTCTCTCTTTAATGCTTTATGTAGCCATAGGTCTGTATTAAATCACCTGCAATGACAGTCATGTCCTATCATGCAATGTGCCTACATACACTAAAAAGTACAGTTTTGTGCGGCCTCAGTAAACAACACATCCATGGCCCATTCTTCTTTGAAGTTGCAAATAGTGAAACAGTCACCATTAATGCTGAGTGAGACTTGACCATGCTGAATCCTAAACTTTGGCCCAAGTTAAGAAAGAATGGAAACAGAGACCAGTATTGGTTTCAACAAGATAGAGCCACATCACACACAGCAAGAATCTACATGGACTGGCTCAAGGAACACTTCCTAGAAAACTCCTCCCATTGAGTGGTGATGTGGAATGGCCTGGCCTCTGCACTCCCCAGATTTATCCCTATTAGATTACTTTCTTTGGGGATATTACTGCACATTGCATATTGGTATATTATATATATATAATGGTATGTTATTATTATTATGGATTGGTGTGTGCACAGAAAGTCAAGTACACAAAATTAATTTGAATATTTTCCTCATACCTTTAACAATAATTTTTACTGTAGGGTGATTATGATAATTAAATTCTAATTTAGAATTCATTAGTAGTGTTCACAGGAAAGCATGAAACAATATTAGAAAGGGCATAGATGCAACCATAAAAAATCCAAATATGAATTGTCCTTTCTCATTTTTGTCACTTTCATGTAATACCAGGGCTGAATTCAACATTAATTTGGAAATAAGATCAGGAAATGCAAGATATTTAGCCATATTCATATCTGCTTAAATGTTTGCCATAGGCCTACATTCAAGTCCAAAATAACTAACATTGAGGCTTAATTCAAACAGATGGAACAAACAATGAAAGAGGATCAAATTTCAAATTCAGTCTTTCACAATGCTGTTACACATTGGTTGAGCCTTGGCCGAGAAAGAAAGCCTTTTTGTGCATTTGGTTGTTAACATCACACATTATAGAAACAGTCTGTTAAGTTTATAAGTGCATTTCAAATAACTTTGATATAAGCTATTATTATTTGAAAGAAGCTTATAGGATTTTGAATGGTATAGCAGCATATTCACTGAAAGACAAAATAATAGCTTATCCTTGGGGGGGGCAGGATTTGTGTGTTACATGCCCAACATTAATTACTAACCCAGGGGCTAAAAACATTAATTAGGTACCCTGGGGGGGGGGGGTCTGAATTTTGAAATGCCACCTAGCCTATGACCATGCAAAGACAAAATGAGGAAGCCATGAAAGGTTTGATCAGACTGGGATCAGGGGCATGGCCATGCATAATGGGCACATACGCACACACTTTGAAATATAAGTAGTACAGATAGTGCTATGGAAATGTACTGTTCTGAGAAAGTTTCAACTTTGCTATCTCACCTCCTGAGCAGATCCAAACCCAAAGTTAGATTCTGCAAAATCCTCAGAACCAGGAAAGCCCATGCGGAATCCTGCATCTCCAAAAATCTTTCGGAATAGTTCTTCTGGATCAACAGAGGATTGAAAATTCCATCCTCTAAAGGGGTCACCCCCATGGCCACCACCACCACCAGTACTTCTACCACCCATGCCCATCTGTTCTCGGGTTGAGCCCCATGAATCGTACTCCCTCCGCTTAGTGTCATCACTAAGTACCTGCATCACAGCCACAAAAGAATAAGTTAAAGGACTTCTGAGATGAAATTCCATGAAACCATCATTGTATGATATCAATTTTTATAAAAGAAAATATAGTTTGGACAATATACTTTGATTAATGCATTTATTATACAATCGATGACAGATTTACATAACCTAAAAACCATTTTCTAGAAATGTGCACTCAAGTTATCATAAACAAACCAATACAATACCTGGTTACCATACACTTATACATGCATAATACTTAATAAATTATATCATCCTAACATGTTCAAGAATTTGACTTTTCTGATGGAATCATGGAATGCAAAGAATTCTATCTTATCAGCTATAAACTCAACTATTCTAAAAATAAATTCAAATGTTCTAAAAAATAAGAATCTGCATTACCTCATAAGCCTCTGACACATCTTGGAATTTTTTTGATGCCTCAGGATCTCCCTTGTTTGTGTCTGGATGGTATTTCTTGGCTAGCTGATAGTATGCCTTCTTGATTTCCTTTTGTGATGCATTCCGTGGGATACCCAAAACCTCATAATAGTCTCTTTTTCGCTGAATCCTAAGACTAGAAGTATGAAATCCTCTTTCACTCTTCAATCCATACCCTGCAAAGAGAGACAATGAAATGCTAATTTTATAACTGATAACCGTGGATTGGATTTACATGTTATATTACACCTAAGCCTAGCTAGGTTGGCTTCAATGAGATTAACAGGTGGCCTCAACATACCAATACCAAGTACCAAGGAACATGGAGTCAAACATAGACAACATTTATACTACCATTAGCAGGGGTTATGCCAAGTTTCTTGCCCTAGCCTCTGGCCCATGTATCCCAGGAGTCCCGGGACCCCCAGGATGCACAGGCAGAAGGCTGAAGACTGCTGGATTGAATATCATACTGCTTGGTTATGTTAAGGCACAAATAAACATGGATTGCTAGACTTTTAATTTTGGGAAACCCTTCAAGATTCCCTTGTGCTTCACTTGGAAAGTAACCCCCTTAATTTTCTGGGGACCCTCTCATATCAGACCTGAGGGTCCTGGGAAACCCTATTGCAAGAAAACTAGTGCAACCCCTAATCAGTAATGTCTTCTTTGACCTTGTGGTTATATTCATGACAGACCTGGATCCAGATATATCCAATGCAACCCCCATCCCCACCTTGTTTTTTCAGGACTCTACTCCCATGGGCACCTATTACATATAGCACATAACCTTTGGGCTTCCTAACAGGTGTTAACCCCTCACAATTGCACTTTTCCCCAAAAATGTGTACCTATTTTAACACATTGGTGACTGGCCCCGGGGCCAGTCACCAACGTACTACATGATTTCTCGCACTACGAGCGTACTATGAGATTTCTTGGGGCCTGTCACCAATGTGTTAAGATGCTATTCTGAAACTACTTGTGATGCCCTCTAGGAACAGTGGAACAAAACAGAGTCATTTTGCCGAGTATCCATTGTTTTTGGATTTCAATTGTTTCCCCCCCAACAGGAGGATTTCCATCGATTGCAGGTAGTGACACCTTCCACATGGGTGGTTTTTGGAGCATCTGATGTAGCGAATTCTAAGGAAAGGGGCTCTCTCCAAGCTCCACTACCCAGGGAATACAAATTCAATCCAGAAACAATGTCTTGGTCAATGCTGGCACAAAAATGAGAAGTCATGCTGACGAGTTATCTCAGAAACACCAAAGCCGGTTAATCCTAGATGAAGACAAAGCATTACTAAACATTAACTCAAGACTCACCATCTACTCCTCTAAAGCTGAAGCAATTGTTGATCGATGTGATCGACTTGGAGTTGGGGAACAGATAAAATGGATTTTTGGAGAGGCCTAATGATAGGCATACGCTTGTGCACCGGATTTGGGCGCGAGTCCTTGAACAAAGATAGGTGCCATTCAGGATGTCCCCAGACCTTGAGAAATTTCTTTTCTTCAATGAATCACCAATTCCTTGAGATTTTTCGAAGCAAACCCTAGCGGTTGATACTGTCAGGAGTCCACGCTTTAATTGCAATTCTGTCAATGGCACATTTCTAATTGTGCCGATGCACTGGACAGAACAAGGTCTTTTCCACGGAAACCGACTTAAAAAATTCACCATTGGCTCCATGGGAGATATGCGATTGTTAACCAACTTCCACGCAACACTCAGGTCTTGAGGTGGTTGGAAACGGCAAACGAACAGCCATCAGCTCGAAATGTAAGAGTAGGCGGCACGAGAACCACGCCGATGTAAAAAGCGATGGTGATCGCCATATCTGTTCAAGGATGCAGAGCTATGAGATCCTGACCTTCTCCTCTTTCTACTCTAGCCAGCCTCCTTACTCTCTAGCAGGGGATTTCTGAATTACTGTTTCTGCTACTGAATTATCGTTTCCTCTTCTAAATAGTAAAATAGGAAAGAAAACTTTAAAAAAGTATGCAGAATTTGCAGTCATTATGATTTCGTGACACATTTCAACCAAAGAAACATATTGGGTGTCCCAATGAACCAGCAAATGTCACGAAGAATAGTACATCTAAAAATTAAATCTGATGAGGAAATGGTACTTTTGATAAAATGGTATTTTTAGAAAAATTATGATAATTCTCTCGAATGTGGATCATATTCCCAAATGTGGACAGTAATTCACAGAGGTTAAATAGCTGTACATAACTGAAAATGATTCCTAACTTCTGCCTAGATGTGAAGAAAAGGGCCGATGGGTTTAAAGCCGCATCTACGTGCAGTAAAAATCACCTCACCGAATTCTCCTAAGCAATAGGCTCCATCCGAGCGCAGTACGTCATAACGACTAAGGTAATTTCAGACATTTTGCGAGGCATACATCTCCCCGAAGGTTGAAGGAACGAAAGAACTTGAAAATGATTGCCGAAGTCAATCGTTCGAAAATTCCCAGATTTTATTACGTTTTAATACCAGTACCAAGTACCAGTGATCCAAAACTTGAGGTAGCCTCCCTTGACTTCGCTGAGAATTTCCGCATTTCGTATGCTCGTTTCCTGTGGTTCATACTCCAAAAATCAAGTTGCGCTATGAAGGAAGTATTCTTAGTTCTAGATCCAAGAGCATAGAGTATGAAGTAGACCTGCTAACAGATTTAGGAAACACGTGATGATACATGCACAACCCTGAATTCATGAGGAGTAGTTCTGAACCATTTACGACACGTAAAGAAATTATATCCAAAAGAGTAAGAATCCTTCCACAAAATTTTCAGTTTCAGGTTTCAACTGAGGTTAACCCTTTACTTCTCAGAGGAAAACTACTTCCCGGCACCTATAAACACGATTGACACAGAGATGGACGAAGCCCCAGACTAGAGACCAGGATCGGGCTTGTGCTCCATCTACCCAAAGAGTGCGTAAGACGAGTTAGTATGAAAAATGCTCCCCAGATGCCACCACGGTCCCGCTGCTTGCCTTTTTCTTAAAAGGCAGACGCTGGTGCGAGCTCATCACAGACACGATATCATCCGAAATTTTTCGCCATCAATCCTTGCCATCCAAAGGTATGATTAATAATTTCTCCTGATTGATAAAAACTATCACAAATCTTCCTGAAATCACTAGACTAAGGTCTAAGTCAGTTTAAACTCTTTTTTTTTTACACATATTTTCACCTTAGTTTTTCGGTTTCTTCGGAGTACCTTATGTAGTTTAAAGGGCTAATTGCTTTGTTTAAGGCCAAAGAGAGAGAGAAAGCTTACCCATTTTGGAAAGGGATGGAAGACCTTTTCACTGACCTGATTCACTGATTGAGGCGGATCCACGAACTTTACTATATCGTGCTTCAATTTGCGAGGACCAAAAATACTTCTAACATTTGTAGCTCCTGTCATTTCCCCAGAGTCGTTATCCCTAAAAAAAAAAAGATAAATGAATCCAGAAATGTTGGGGAGATCTTGAGCCCCCTAGTCCCCTCTTTGATCCGCACGAGATCAGTAGGCTTCCTGCTGTGGCGGCTCGTGACCCGTAGCAGTAGCAGCTTGTCAATAAAGCCAGGGTAGAAACTGTTTCCTAATGTAGGCGTAAGAACTATCTCGAAAGTGGAGGGCAAGTCGCTCCGAACACCCTGGAGGGGGATGGGCAGGTTCCACGATTGCGTACGTTGGAACATGATTCTCCAGTCAGAGATAAGCAACTTAACTGGAAAAAGTGAGGAGCAAATGGTATCCTTTGACATCACACCGGAAAAGTGGCTGGAGCATTTGTCATACGGTTCTTCAGCTTGACTCCACTTCGTGTCGAAGGAATGTTGGCTCACTCGGTCGGTGAAGCCGGGAAGAAACAGTTTTATAAACGTCGGGAAGGGGGCATTTCTGCACTCGTAACCGATTGGTCGGCTTATCTGCTACTGGGGGCAGCACCCATGCATTCGTACCTCATTGGGAAAGGTATGAGCCCATAGAGTCTTCTGTATGGAGCTAGGTATCCCCTCATTCCACCTAGTCAAACAATCGTCCACGTAGACATTACCAATTACTCCAAATGGATCGCATCGAAACGAATAGACTATCTTGTCTGTTCACTCAACCATATTTCTTATCGGACCAAGAAGTATTGTGTTCCCACTTCCAACGGGATTTAATAAGGGATCTCTTATCTTGGAGCTTCTTACCACAAACAGAGGAAAACCTGGCACATGGATTGCTTTTTTTCTCGTATCTGCCAGATCATCAAAACAAGAAGAAACCGAGCGAAATGACGCCCCTAAAAGCATGGAAGCAAGACTTCACCTCGTTTTATTTTAATGTTCCTGTTTATTCTTCCTCGATCTCTTCCTGGAGAGTCTGGAACCCTGAGTCTAGAATGCCTCTTGTGGTCAACTGTGATAATGTTTTAAAGATCTACTTTTATTGATTCATTGACTGATTTTTTGTCTGGATGACTTGAATTCAAATGAAATAAATTTGAAATGTTTCTCGTACATTTAGAAGCAGACTGCGACATCCTTGAAAAGCTATTCTTACTCTGATTTCACTTTTCCTTTTTACCCTTTTTCTGATTTCACTGATTTCAACGTTATGACGACATGAGTTTGCAGTGAGACTAGACTAGTTAATAAATTCATAGACATAGGCATCAGTTGGGAAAAAATCAAGACATCGTCTTTTTTATTTTCACCTCGGAAAATGCCTGCAAATCTTAATCGGCCCTCAGAAACCTCGGATGGAACATTAGTGCTAAAAAACATGAAATTCGGAAATTCACTGCCCTGAGAAAATGCAAAATAGTTATCGTTTCATGAGAAAAAAGTAAAAAGGCATTTATGTAATCTTAGCTCAAACTCATCAAAATACTCGCTTTCACAGACGAATTTTTTCTCGTATCAAAGGTATGGTTCTCATCCATATATTAATATATTTAGTCGTTTTACTGTTTTCATGTTCATGACTAAGGGCTGAGTTCGCCATGATCTCATGAAACAGATACGCCTACCCTCAAGACAGGTTCCTAAGTTAATGGTGGAAGGTTAAGCAATTTCCAGGTTAATGGAAATTGGCGCTTTTCATGATTGTATTCGTAAGTTGCGCATTGAATGCGGAGGAAGGGAGGTCCAAGTGAGAATCGATTCTCGGAGAAGCCACGTGGTTTGCTTTTAGTGCTTTATGGCTTCATGCAAAGGAACCACTTTTGAGAGAATCCATTGGCAAATGAAAGATGTTGACAGGCAATTCTTAAGACGCCCAGTTCTTTCTCTGTTTTTATGGGCATGATCCTACGCGATCCCTTCTCGGTTTGATACCTGAAGATGAATATTCGTTTTCTTGTGAGTAGGCCAGCTTGCAGTGCAGTTTTCAGGACGCCAGTACTCCCAAATAAATACCTATGAACAGGGCCGTTTCTAGGCGTGTTGGCGCCCAGGGCAAGAAGTTCCAATGGTGCCCCCCTCCCCCCCTTTACCCCTCCGGCGCCCCTCCCCCCCCTCCCCCTTTACCCCGCTGGCGCCCTGGGCGATCGCCCGCTTCGCCCGCCCCTAGAAAAGGCCCTGCCTATGAACGTGGTCAACGTTGGGTGTTGAGTGCATGAAACCCTCATCAGTCATAAGTAGAGATGGGTTATTGACGGGTCAATAAAAAAAAGTCTGACCGGTCAACTGACTAGTCAATATTGTCAACTATGGTCAAATATGGTCAATACGGTCAACTTTGGGTTAGGCCTTAAGACTGAATATGATCATAAATGACCATGTTGACCAGTCAACATCTCATCGCTGAGATAGACTTTACCATGCAGATTGCATGAGTTGGAACATTAACCTTTTCAGACCTGAATTAAGGCCACTATCGGAATAATGTACTTTTTTGCATTTTTGAGCTCTTTTCCTATGCTACTTACAATTTGTATGTTCTATATATCGTTTTAATATTTTGTAATTACTCTGAATAATGAGGAATGTAACACATAGTGTCCAGAACAGGAGTTTCTTGGTTTCTGGTATAAGTATTTATTCCCATTCCTGTCAGAAAAAAAGCCTCTGCCTTGCTCAATTCATAGCTAGATTATTTTTTTGGCACATACCTTGGCATAATCGAAGTAAGTTTACTTGTCCCTTGAGCACTGACTCTTGAGGATAATTTGGTGCTTTAATGCAGACCAACACAATGATAGGCCTTGCATTAAACTTAAGTTCTAAAGTTGAAACTTAGATCTTAAACCTTAACATTCAAAGTCATTAAGGGTGTAAGACCTTGAACAGCAGGTTATGCCTGTACAGTACACGCACTTTACACCGTTCAGGTGAGAGGTCAGGGTAGCTTGAGCTTTAGCTATGTTTTCAAACCCAATGGGTGCCACAGTCCAGATTTTTGGCAGGCTCCATGAATATAACTTTAAAATGGAACTGGCGCTTTGGTTTTAGTGCTGGAGGATAAATGACCACAGTTATTGAGCACAATAAAAAAAAATACATATAAGTTCATTGAATAAAAAAAGCCGTCAATAACGGTCAATTGACCGCCCCATCCCTAATCATAAGACACACCGGCAAGGCGATACATCAAAATCATTACCTTGCTTCTTCATATTGGTTAGTAGTTTTTCTCTTTGAGGGAACTTGGATATTTAAATCATAAGTACGTTTCAGTACTTGATTACTTGATGTACCAGTTCAGCTCATTAGATTCTCGAAAAGTGCAGGGCGCTCAATACTTCGTCTTCACTTTTCGAAATCCTATTAATTTTTTTTTTTGCTCTATCTGTGAGTCTGGACTATAACTATTAGAAGAAAAAAAAACTTTCGGCTTCAGATCAGGAATTGAGATACACAAAAGGCAAAACGGTGCATCGAGGAAAATCTTTCATCGCCTCACTTTTCACAATGTAACCAGTAGTTTTACCTTAGGTTGGTCTGTGTGTACTGCAATGCTAACCACTCCAGCCCAAGGCTTATCCTTCCGGTTGAGATTCACATCTCACAAAATGGAGTTGTGAGATTCTGAGAGCAGGCCCGCCCATGAGGGGCATCGGGAGACTATCTGCCCCGGGCCTCGAGTATCAAGAGGCCCCAAGGGGCCTCCAATGAGACCCAATGCCAAGGTCCCAAAAGGGCCCATCCAGCCATCCTCAGCCATATAGTGGCTTCCAAGGAGCCTCCGGTTTAGTTTTGCCCCGGGTCTCTGGAAACCTCTGGGTGGGTCTGTCTGGGAAACAAAACTCGATTTTATGAGAATACTGGGATTCCAACTTCTTAGAATATTGGGATAATCAGAGGCACGACTATGATGTGGAAAGTGCAATACAACTTAGAGAAAATAAATGACAGCTGCAAATTATGAGACGCTTGGATTCAATATTCAAGGAGTGGCCTATACTCCCACTGGTGGCAATTGGAAGCGCCTAAATGTGTCATGGCATTATGGAGCACTTACCTCACACGAAAACCGAAACAATGAGAATAAGGAGCAGGTGGGGAAAAAGTCGCCTAGTGAATTGCATCGGGGAAAAATCCAAGACTATTTTTCTATTTCAATGAGTCCAACACGGACCCGGTGAAATAATGAGATGATGCTGAGATGTTTCGGTGTTGATATGCAAGAAAGAAATTCAGTGTATTCTCCTACGGAGCTGATGTACCAATGATGACGACTTGGTCGTCACCAAAATTATGGCATCAAGTTAGAAGTCTACACGTCCATCACAGGGGTTCATGTGGTTGGGTACGTAATAGTATTTTTAAAATTACTTTTTGGCTCCTTCAGTACTTGAGCACTTGAGACCCCCTAGAGACACAATATGGCATCAAAGAGTGTCCATCGGTACGTCCTTGGTTGATAGCAGTTCAGTCCCTATTTATAGATAGTTCTCATCCTAATTCAGTTAGTGTGTTGTGGGTATTAAGTGCGCTTTCGCACGTTCTGTACCAGATCAGCACTTCATATCCACAGAAAGATCCAGTATGTGGATGACATACTGGATCTTTCTGTGGAATATGATACCATCTACACCTGTGGCCTGCCGGAGACCGTGTCCCGTAAGTTCATTTATGCAAACGATCTGGTATTAGCGAAACTGGCGCAACACCGCTCTGATGCCAAGAAGTTCCTCATGGTAGGCCTCGCTGCACTGGAGGACTATTTCAAGAAATGACGCCTTAGACCAAACTCGACAAAGACGGTGGTGGCATTCCACCAAACTCCGCCACCACCAAACTCAACGTAACTTTCAGCGGTCAGCAACTCCATTACGACCCCTATCCGAGGTATCTAGGGGTTACGCTGAACCGTAGTTTAACGTACCACCAACACCTGAAGAACGTCCGTGGGAAAAGCAAGACGCGGATGAACATGATACAATTACAGAAATTAGCAGATACAGGATGGGGCGTCGATGCGAAACCCTCAGAACCTCAGCATTGG